CATTTTGAAACGCTCTATACAGTCGCATGGAATATATTTTAGTCGTCAATATCATTTTTTGGTCAACAATAATAGAAAGCCAAGTCGATGTTTAAACTATTCTTGACCTTTTGAGACAAAAAAGTCAATCACAAAGAGTAAATTGCAATTTTCTGAAAGAAAAAATATTTTTTTAGTGACGACTAAATGTACATTTTTTTTTAAACAACATAATTGCGTTTTTTGTAATCTTTTATAAATTTCTTCCCGGCCAAGAGATGCAATGGCCTGTTTCTCGACCATCAAAAGGTTAGAAATCCGCATGTAACAATAGTGATTGTGAATTAAGTAAATTTTTTTACTTGCTTTGTTTTCTCTTCTTTGATCAGATTTGACCTAACTTAATCTAACTAAAGAAGTGCTATAAGTGCTGTAGTTTTTCAGTTTTAAGTAGAATAAGTCTTTTTCTACTTGATTTAGTTGGACAAACAAGTGGAAGTAAGTGATTTATGTTGTTAAATTTAAATATCAACTTTTTCTAAATGTTTGTGTAATTTACTTATTTGATTTTTCTTTTAAATCATAATGTTGTCACTATTAATTATTATTAGCAAGATTGTTGACGCTATTTTAGCTCATTTATTATTAATTATCATAATTAAGTAATAGATTATATCATATCATATCAGAATTGACTGAGAACATAAGATATGTAATTGAAATAAGGTGTCTAAAGTTGGTGCGTAGTAATTTTTAATAATTATGAATAATTAGAAAAAATTTTCACGTCTGTACGAAGATTTTGTAGAATGATTTTAAGCAGTTTTACACCTTTTATTGTATATAAGAGCTGATTAAACAAAAAAGTTGGTAAAACAAGATTTAATCCAATATAATTAATAGGCACCTAATACCTCTTGCATGCGAAACCGTTGAGTAAATGTAAAAATTCTCTTCTGACATGATTAGAAATTTATATCGTAACCTGAGGAAAATTGGTCACGTAGAAAAAAATTGCTGAAACTAGAAGTATAGTAAAGTTATACCTACTTATTTTTATTGCTTACGGGACTGCCTGAACTCAAAGAACCTGGTGACTGGGTTATAAACAGTTCGTAGAATTGGGTGTATCGAACTAAAATTTAAAAAGACTGGTCAAGTTAAAGTAGGTTGTTTTTTGTGGTCTATTGTTTGGAATTAATCGAATAAAAGTGCTTTCGCTTGTGATTCAAAAATTTATTAGTTAAGAAAGTGTGTATTTGGGTTTAATTACGTTCATCGGCACACCTGTGGTTTTTTGTTTCGTAAAATTATAATATGTAGCGTAAATACGTCCGTTCTCCATAAAAACTGTCCATGAATAATGCATGATTGATTTATCTTCCTAAACATAAATGTTTTGCAACATTAAGTACGCTTTTAACCAATTAAGATACGATCGAATATTCACGTTACATGATTTTGCAGTAAACATTCACAAATATTTGTGATAATTGGTCGCGATACGGGGGTAATAACATAATGTGACTGTATTTAAAATGTCCTGCGGAAATAAATAACGAACGCTAAAGGATTATGAAAAAGTAATAATTACACTTGCATGTATACAAAGTGTTCCAAGTAGCCGCAGTGCTCGGGGCGCTCCATCCACGGTCTCACGCAAACCCAGCTTGGGTGCCCACGGATCGGACAATTCCTTTAATGTCCTTTAATTTCCATGCGTGTGAGCTTTAGCCCCGAGTCGGCCGTTTTTGCTCGGCCTTTCCGAAAACGTGCGCTTAGATTTCGTATTTGAGACATGTCGGAAAATTCGGGGAATGCCGCTGGAAAAGGAAAAAAGGCAGCAGCAATAATTCCGCTAAAAAGTTTATTGCTTACTGTTATGCCAAAGTAAGCATTGTTGTTTTGGAAAAACGAGTAAAAAGCTAAGCATTGATACAATGGTTTCCTTAAATAGTGCTAATAAGAACTTTGCAAACAGAATACATCATGAAATCTGAGGAGTGACAAAAACCAGGCATCCATTCGGCGTACGCCGAAGAATGTAGCGCGGCCGATAAATATCGGCTATTGCAGGAACAAATTTATAGACAAGCGGCCGTTTCAATTTACAACTTTTGTATGTAGTTTTTTTTTCTCGGTGAAGTTTTTTCTCTGGCCGCGTGTCTTGCATCTGTCCATGTTCCATTATTCAACGCGATTTTCTCCAAATTCTATTAATATTTGAGCGCAAGCTGGACCGAATTTCCAAAAAAAAAACGTACAACACATACTGTCACGTGGCGCAAAACTAAATCAGAGTGGGTTTCGATGATGAAAGATTATCGCTGGCTGCCTCGTTGCAAATCTTCGGACCAGTCTGAATACTATGTCCATAAAAGATTTTTATATCACTTTAATGACACAAGTTTTTGTTTGCCAAAATTTATAAGAGCGTTTAAGTGTGTCGTGAATTTATAAGCAGGAGACAAGGGAAGTGACTGGCGTGGATGAATGTACCCTTCTTTAACTATAGACGTGGCAGATGTCGCGCTGATATTTATTGTTCTTCAACTTGAATACAGGTCATCACTAACATAAAGCAGGTGGTAATCCTTTATTTTGTAGCTCTGCTAAATGGCAACAATTCTTCTCTTATTAGCCAAATTACCTACAACAGTTCACTTGAAAAATGTCAATGGAAAAGAATCTTAACGGGTATTTTTTCCATTAACATTATATGTATTATAGGTATCGACTCTCCCAACAAAAACTATAGTAACTCAAAAATTACAGTTTTGAGAAAAATTGCATTGAATCTTTGATTGTTAATAACTGTTTAATATTATTGAATATTGCTAAGGGTCTAAATTTTGGTAATACTTAATATTGTTTATTTAAAGAAATTTTTTCTCATTGTTTTTGTATTTTGGGCGCTACATAAGCCATCGTACTTAAAAACCAATTTTTATGAGTTACTATAGTTTTCGTTGGGAGAGTCGATATGATTCCGATTCATTGTATTGCTCATTATAAAAAATAACAATATTTCAAAAAAAACACAATTAATTAGGACACCTTGGGCGCCGACTTTGTGATGCATAAACAAAAAAACGCGAAAAAACGATTTCTTCTTCCCTATGTTTACTGAATTTATTGTATTTAATATTTAGAAAATTTAAAAACAATATAATTTTTGTATAGTACAAAAGAAAAAAATCAATAAATAACATATGCTTAAAAAATAGTACATGGTCAAAGTTGCAAAATGATTTAAATTGTTGGGTTTTGAAAAATAATACACTACTGTTAAATTTGAAAAAAAAATTGGAAACTATTTTTAAAAAATGACTGAAAATTTGTATGAATGTTCGTAAATCTAGTGCTTAATACAACTTGGAGGTATCAACTTTTCGTAATTGCAATTGATTTGAGTAAAATTAGGGTATATTAAAAACTAAGCCTATTGGTTTTTGATTTTTTCATTTTCAAAAATATCAAAATAATTTTTTTAATTTTTTTGTAATATTCTATTTAAATGTAACATGCAAAATTGTAGATAAAGGTAAAAAAAGTGCTTTTTTCATTTTGATGAAGATTACACAATGCTCAGAACAATTAATTTCTTTAATTCTTTTGTAAAACTTTGATCAATCGGTCGGAGAAAACAGAGCTTTTGGCCGTAGATTAGGCTATAAAAAATCTAATGAATGACATATTTCTCCCCATCAATATTTGTGAGTGCGGTAGATTTACTACAACAACAAAAAAGATATCATTTTTTTCCTTTTTTTTTTACATTAATGTTGCATGTAATTTTTTTTCAATCGTAAAAACATCTTGCAGAAAATTGGTTGCTGAGATATCGATAATCAAAGAAAAATAGTTAAATTTAATTTAAATTTCGTTTTATTTTGTACTCACCTACCAGAATTTCTTCAGCAGATAAAAATTACTTTATTTCACTATTTCATCTACTGAAATTAGTTGATAAAAGCACTCTTTAACATTGAGTGCAAAATAAAAGATTTTTTTTGTTAAAAGTCAAATATCTCAGCGGTAAATTGACGTAAAGAGAACATAAAAAAGCAAATTAAAGCTGAATGAACAAGCTATCCGGCTCATGAAAGTTTTTTGTTTTCTAAATTTTTTGGAATAGTAAAAGGTTTATGTAAAATGTTTTGTAGTTTTGAAGTTTTTGAGATAATAAGAATTTTTTTCTAGGAGTTTTTCACTAAAGAGCTTAATTTTGAATTAATTTAAAAAAAGGAAAAACAAAATAAGATAACATAAACAATGAATTTGATCTATTTTCTCGAAGAGGAAAAATTTAAAACATCTTCGACATTAAAAGTAATTTTAAAGAATGCAACGTCACTAAAAAAAATCAAATAAATACGAAATTCCAAATATTATTAAGAGTTTTTACTATTATTTTTTTACCGTAAGCAACCCATTTTTCAATGAGTGCATCCGCCCCGATGCACCCATGTAGTCGGCGCCCATGATGTGATCAATTTTTAGTTCTTTAATGGCCTTGTCATTTGACATCGTTTAATTGCTTTTTATTTCAAAGATTCAGTCAAGTTAAAAATATTTTTTGATAGTGGCTTTCGCAGCCTACAGTTTCTCAACAAGACTATAATGCGCCGAAAGTTTTACGCTATACGTTTAAAATCGATTGAGTACTAAAATAGAATACTATTTGTTCCAACGTATCTCCCGAAGTATTTTCTTGGTAATAATCATTCAGAATTATACCATTCCAGCTTTTTGTTCTGAATTTAGTGTTTTTCGATTCAAATTACCTCGAATTATCAAAGAACTCATGCCCGTTATGACTATTTTTTTGTTTAACTTTGAGAATAAATTGTTACGCTTATTATCTTTCCGAGAAATTCGAGGTAGTGTACTCTTTTCGAACCAGCATAACTTTTAACCTCTTCCGTTCTTTGAAACTTTTTTTTATCAAACCGTAACGACAAAATTTCCGTGTGCAAGGTGAAACCAATTGTGGTTACCAAAATTGTCATTTTTTGCAGGCACGCTTCGACCGCCTGGACTAATCGGTGGCAGCAAGCCCAAAGTAGCAACTCCGGCCGTAGTCTCGAAGATAGAACAGTATAAAAGAGAGAATCCGACGATTTTCGCATGGGAAATACGAGAAAGATTGATATCAGAAGGTGAGTAAAAACGCGCCCATTTAACACAGAAAGAAAAATTAGCAATTACGCGGCGATTATAATTGCGGAAACGATTTTCACAGAACTAGAAACGCCACCTAATTATTATCATACACGATTTTTGTGCGTGTCAATTTAAACCCGTCATAATTAAATAAAATTAAAAGAGATATACGTTCCGTGACGAAACCGTGACTTTTCGAAAAGAAAAAAAATTACTGCGTGTGAATGAAAACACTTATTTCGATCAACAAAACCGCAGGTAAAATAACTAAAAGAAATGACAATGTTTAAGGGGCTTTATATTGTTTAGGTTGGCCAAACTGCCAGTGCCGAGCCGGTTATTGTTACGGAAAACCACACCTAATTATACGTATTGTGAATGTAGGGAGGATAACGTAAATTATACTCTTTTTTTTCGAATAAAAGATGCTTGCAACCATAATGCAGCCAAGAATTTATGTTTTCGACAACTTCAATTAAATAAGACTTTCTGGCAAGCAGGAACGGGTAATTAGCCTCACGGCTAGCGCCATTCATTTAAATCAATGGCGGATGTGCAACTAAAACTGATTTCAATTTTCGGATTTTTTCAAAACAACCAAGTGACTACGAGACGCGATGCCTCCAGTAATAAGCTTTACTTCTTCATTTTGTCTCCGCCAGTGGAGCAGTCTCGGATCTCAATTGTATCGGCCCCCGGGACAAATCGGAACCCACCTCATGTAATTATACTGTGACTGATGAATGATTAATAATTGTATATTTATCATATGGATGCATTGATCATGATCACACTTGGATGCAAGGATGAGATACCATCACTTCGATTTGATTTATCTGCATGTTAATTCCTTATTCAGACCCTCTGGCAGCAGTGTGTCTATCAATAAACTCAATCCCAAGCGGTGTTTCCTTTATTTAGTTGTTTTTTTTTTCTTCTTTTACGGCAGTACCACCGGTACCAATTGAATTTTTTCAAGTCTAATTATGTAATAAAGCATTTTGGAAGCATGGTGGGCCCCAATTGCAAATATTCATTTAAAATAATAAGATTCGAGTCTGCTTCAATTCAATAGTCAAGTTGGCTATGGTCATTCAATTGGACACGCGACTCAAAAGAAAGATTGTCTGTTGGATTCTTTGTGTGGCGCTCACGCCTTATAATGGCACATGTAGTTCCGTCTCTATTACATTCCAGCACTATTGTAGATCCAGCAAAGATTTATAATTGAATAATATTTTTCTCGCATCAGGACGTATTCAGCTTGGCAGCTTCAAGTAACATAATTTGGAGCATCTATTGATGTACCGCGTGAGTTGGATTTAGATTTATCGTTTTGGTCTGGAAACCAGCTCTCGGAATTGCAATAAAATGTCAACCATCTGCGTGGTTTCTGGCTTTGATTGAGATAATGGCGTGGCTTCCGGAAGGCTGGAATTTCGAGTCGGCCGTGACAATGGCAGTGTTTGAATGTCTTGCAATTTGGTTATTGGAACGAATTTGAGTGTTGGTTGAGAGAGTCGCTGAAGGTTGCTTTGTCAGTGTCGTTGTGAGTGTGACATTTTATTTAACCGAGGCAAGTTTAATTAAGAAGCTTCCTACTTAAAGATTAGTCGAACCTTGAAAACATTTAGGATATGGTCGTAGCGGATGTATCCCAAGTAATTGCTCGACTGTGTGAGTAGGCATTGTGTTGAACGGTCCGGTAAGCAATCTAGTTAACGTGAAATCTCGATTTCATTTGTCACACAGAGGTGTGGTGCCGGCGAAGAAATGAGACCAATCACGCCCCCTGGTGCGCAGAAAAGATCGCAATGCGAGGGTAGCACATCTGCAGGTGGTCGTGAGATTGACCACCAGACCGAGAATTGTCCTCGCCGGAATTCCGCCGTGCCGGAAGACATAAAGCCAACTCATCGTGTAATCAAAATTTCCTCCATATCGATAATAATTACAACGTCTTCTTATTGTCTCCCAAGATCACTTCTTAAACTCGAGGGTGCTCGAGGAACTATTCATTCTTTTGTGGTCAAGTCGAGGATCTTCACTTCGATTAAACAAACAGTCTGCCCAGTCATTACATTCGAGAGTTTTTAAGAAATAAAAAGTCACTTTGACTTGCCAATCCAATCTTTCTCGGAAACACAACCGACGAGTTGAACTTTCGGAGAAATCTTCTCCATTTCATATTGCACACGGGACTAATGATGGGCGATTATCTTGTCAGCCAAGCGATCACAAAAGATTTAACACTTTATGGTAATTATTTATTGCAGGTGTGTGCACTAATGCAACGGCTCCATCTGTAAGCAGCATCAACAGGATACTCAGAAATCGCGCGGCTGAAAGAGCTGCAGCGGAATTCGCACGAGCTGCCGGCTATGGCCTCTACCATCCTCATCCTTACGCAGCAGCAGCTGCTGCATTTCCCTGGCATTCACCTTTGTGGCCTAATAGTCCTTTGGGACTTCAACCTCCAGGTGCCGGTGCGTCTATGATGGCTGGTTCCCCTAGTTCCTCTGGTTCGCCACATCCTGATCATGGCCTTTTGAACTCACCCCCTGGCACTCATCCTGACAGCAAAGACGATTCCAGTCTGGACAGTTCCGAACAACCCAAATTCAGAAGAAACCGGACAACTTTTAGCCCCGATCAATTAGAAGAGTTGGAAAAAGAATTCGAGAAGAGTCACTACCCTTGTGTTTCAACACGAGAGCGTCTGGCGTCAAAAACCTCTCTGTCGGAAGCCCGGGTTCAGGTACGTCGTCAATCTAACATTCATATATCGGACTAATGATGGTAAATTGAAACCAGGTTTGGTTTTCTAACAGACGAGCGAAATGGAGACGCCACCAACGCATGAACCTCTTAAAGCAGTCCTCGCCGGGCCCCCAAGGCAGCCAGTCTTCGATGTTCGGCGGCCGCTTGACGCCCTCTCCGCACTACACAGCCGCTTCCACCCCTGGCTCGCCGCTTACTACTCGCACCGGGGGACCGACGGCTTCCTCCCTTTTGTTGCAAATGGGAGGAGAAAATAGTGCCTTCAAGGCTTTGGTACCGAACCAATTGTTGGCGCATGATAACATGAGACGTCTCAGTGATTACGCGACGGATTCCGAGGAGGAGATTAACGTCAACGACGAGTCTGACAATGACGAGCCACGGAGGCGGAGGTCGCGGTCTTCGAGTCCCGTCGAAGTAGTCGACTCACCGGCCAAAGAGACGCCCACATGTCAGCCTTTGCAGCTCACCATGCACGATCGCGATTAATTTACGATTACGTACATGGTGAAACAACATTACCAAAGCAATTCAACTCTTATAACACTTATTTATCTCTGTAAATACTATTTAAATGACGTGACGGATACACCAAAAGGTTCCTCCACTCGGCTCGCAGATAATTAATAAAGATAGCAATTTTGTTCCAAAATCAGAAAAGACTTTTGCTCAACTCTTAACACAACATTTTTCCAGTTAAACCGGTTTAGATCAAGTCAGGTCAGGTCAAATTATTTCAAATTACTAGTCATTTCTTGTTTTTGATTTTGGAACTGTCTATCGCCGGTGACCTGAGTCTCTTCACTTAGTGTTGATTTTCTAGACTAAGAACGAGAATTGTAGAAATAAGTGGATGCACTTGTAAATAAAAGGAGAATGAGTTTGAACGTACTAGAATAGAAGGAAACTGTTGATATTTAAATTATGTGTATATGGAAGACGAGGAAATCGTCTTAGTTTAATAAATTGCTTGGTTGTCGTGTTTGTTAGAGAGCGTAGGCTTTTCTAATGAATGGACAACAGCGGCAACTCGTCCATTGTATAGTAGCCGTAAGAAACTGTAATAATTGTTAACGAAATACAATTTGCATAAACGTTTGTCTGAGTTATCATTGATCCGTTCCAGTTAAAAATCCGTTGCTCGAAGAGCAATACTCCCATCGGTTAGTTTCCTTAAAGGTAGGAAAAGACTTCCTTATTACATTTGATTTGATTGATGAATTAAACATTAACGATTTATTCGCTTGTTATGAGACCGAATCGTATTGGAAAGAGAAATGTAAATGCTGTTTTGAAATAAACGTGGAATTCCGATATTCAGCGTCGTGTTAACACAATAAGGAGTGTCGACCAAAGTGGATGGTAGCCGTGTGGATTTATGAGTTTAACTAATACTTGTAGGTCGATAACAAGAAGGTATCGCGTCGTAAACTAGCCGGGAATGTGTGTGATTTTTCGAAAATTCGGACTGCGACATTGAAGAAGACATCACGGGGTCGTAAAATTAAAGGTGCTCGTAAAATTTAACGACAGATTATGGATTCATTTCGAACTGATTAATTTGTTAGGTTTACGAGAGCGATAGCGGACAAATTTGTAATAAATTCCATGGTCGAGCTGAATTTGTTTGGAAAACTATTCGGAGGTGTTGAGAAATCAGGTTTTGCTCCGGATATTTTTCTTAATTAAGAGTCGTCTCGCGTGTTTTCGGATTTTCGGTTCATTTATATGGAGCTAATCGGAGGTGATAAAACTTTGGGGCATTTTATTTAATTAAAAGATTAGATGACTGGATGACCGAAAATCAAACAAGTTGAAATATGGAAGCGATTAAACCTATTTTATGGTTAATAAGCACTCCCGACCGGATTATTTTATATCGGTCGTAACTCAGCCAGAAATTTTCTCCGTTTATCTGGCGGGACATTTGAACATATTAATTCCTTCGCGGTGTGGGCGTTTACGTGCCAATTATTTCACAATGGTGTTTGCTTCGTTAAGATTTTATGGCGACTAAAGTGTCTCAAAAGTGCGAATAAGCGCACAGAATCTCACTTTGAATTTATGTCTTTCCATTTTACAAACCTGAAATGGTCGTTTGAGTGTTTTTCATTGATACTCATTTATATACAGAAATAATTAGACTCTATTAAGATTTGCATACATAATTCGGGTTTCTGTTTCAAGACCACGCGATATTCCTCAACTGACTAATTCGGGCTCCGGTGGCTCGGATTGAGACACTATTGTAATATATTGCTGCGATTGGAGACGTAATCCTGTTCAACACCGGACAAGCTCTGTTCAACAGTGCTTGAAATTTGCATAACCGGATAGTTCACTTTAACACTGATCTTTATAACTTTATTTGTTTAAACGCAATTTTGATTATAGCCCCACACTTTCGAGGACTATTCCCGTAATAGTTATTATGACACATTTAAAACGAGCTAATAAATCGAATTTAATGCGAGATAAGTTTAATGATGTTTCGTGTACAAATTAATTGCGTTCACTGACTATTTTATCACTTGACACTTCAACATTGTATACAAAAGTGTAATTTTTGCATGTGGGCTGAAATTGGCATTCCTTTAATGTTAATCGGAATTTAGCACTGCACAAATTAACCGGAAACTAATTAAATTCTCAGCTCTCATCACGTACTTTGCATATCGTAAAATATTAATGTGAATTTTATTAAACAACACTCAAACCTGTCAAAAACCATTAACACAAACAATACGCTCGAAAAATTAATTTTATTCATAATAACAGATTGTTCTCATGTTTCGATCAATTTACATTTTGATTAGCCTGCCGGAATTTCGACTAACCGGTGAACTTTAGGTGAATGGTAGCAAAAAATCAATTAATGACTAGTTAATTTCGCTATACACTTGAGATGACGCCAAATTTAGCAAACACCTGGAGAGAAAATAGAAGGAAAAAATTGCCGCTGCAACTTGTTTCTTCACCTAATAAATTAAATTTGGAGCTTTACAAAAACTGCAAGGTGTCGTTTGTTTAGTCTTTAAAAGTAAAGATATACTCTATTTAGTTTAAGAGGTTTCACTCATTGTAAAAAGCTTAGTACTGTTACAGACCTCAATGATGGTAATCTTTTACAAAAATGGTATATCTGATCGTAACATCAATCACTCATTTCAATAGATAGATACTTGTGAAATTCTAAATTGATTCTTATTAAGATCCTGTTGACTTGTTTCTGACACAGCATCAAAATCTTTCCTATTAAATTTTATTTGCTTAATTAACTGATATAATTAGAAAAGACTATAAACCTACTTGTCACGTCAAACACTTACTATTTTTTAGGTTTCAATAAAAAAATACAATCTATACTTTAAAATTTTATTTTTCTATTTCGCATTTGTTATAAAGATGCAAAATGCAAGTTTGTAACGCTGTTTGTGGCAACTTTTTATACCATCACTGACTGCAAACGTAATTTTTAAGTAAAAAATGGTACGAATTAAAATATTTCACCGAAACTAATACTGTTTCAGCTATTTTTAAGCGATTTGGATACCGCATACTTGAAATTCATCAGTTTAATTGCAAAATATAATGATAAATTTAATTTAAAATGCGCTTAATAAAAATAGTATAAAGAACATGTGTTACAACTTCTCATTGTACCGGGTGGTGCAAAAGAAATCCCCACTTCTAATTAAATAAAATTGTTGAAATTTTTCACATTAACCTGAGCATGGATAAAGTACATGTCACAATTTTTTAGTAATTTTTTATTTACAAACAAGAAAAGGAATTTTTTCCCAATTCTAATTTTTATACTGACCTACGCAGATTCAATTCCTGTAATTGTTTACAAAATCAGAAAAAAAAACACCAATTCGATTTTGAATTAAACGCAATTTTCCATCTTAACTTTGAAAATCTTTTTTTTTTAAACCTACTACTTGTGCGATCGTAAATTTAAGTGACACTGGGGAACTGTAATTGAGGTAAGATTTCAAGGTTTACAACAAAAAGACCGTTCAAAGTGGTGGGTTACCAGTAAATGATTCCTTTGTTGGCAAATTATACCATAAATCACGTGTTAAAATATTATTTACCTAAATCAAAATTTGTAATTGTAATATGAAAGTTTGATGCGCTATATCTGATGTACAGATTCTTTAGTGTAAAAACTTTATAAGTAAATTAACAGAAAGTATTCATAAAACACACAAAACTGTTACGGTCTCTATTATTATTATCAAAAAAATTAAAACATTTCCCAAATGTACCCTATCAATAATTAGTTAGGTATATGAAATATTGCCAGTTTTAATTAATTAGAAGTCGTCATTTATCAAGTATCCCGGTATTGTACTCGTAAAACTCGCCAGTTATTTTTTAATGTACTGTTATTATAAAATTTCAAGCTCTCTTTTTTACTCACTGTAGACCACAAACAAATATTTTAAAGTTGTTGGATAAAAGTGAAATCTTCAATATAAAACAAAAACGAAATATGTAAAATATTAAAATTAAGTAGCGATTGTTACAGCAGGTGATGAATAAAAATTTCATCTGCAACATTTTGCAACTTTTCTGTTCCATAATAAGCACCTACTTTCAAATTTTTTTTATCAAATATTTTAGAAATGAAAAAACTGAAAAAATGTAGAAAATGCATGGACCACCTGCAACAATATTAAAGAATTAACAGTTCCAGCCCGTCTTCCAACAAATTAGAAAAGTTTATTAGAGATTGTGTAAGATGTTTGATCGGATTATCAGCAGATGTGGGTTTTGGTATAATTTTATTGCGCTAATCTGTTATAAAAATCTAGCGTTCAGGTTTTTTGGTTGGCAGGAGCAAACTTTGAACAAAGTGGTTTTATAACACTATAAAAATCAATGCATTAGTTGCCTTAATATTGTTAATAAATCATGGTTGTAAAGTAAGACATAAAATTCTTACTGGCAACAGATTGACTCCAGCGCATTAGCGCTTAAATCATTTTGAAATGAAAATTTTATTTATGCTCGTCCAATAATTTTCTCATGAAGGAAACATATTTTTCGGTGGACGTTTAATGGATTAGTAGCAATTTGTCTAAAATTTAAGCTGGTCCAGTATTCCCAAACAAGTTTTTTGGAGTTTATGGAACTAGTGCCCAAAATGTGTTACCTAATCACTACTGGAAACGGCGGCTTTAAATCAATCCGCCTTATCGATGCCTCGGACGCCTTTTATTGTTACCTTTTCTTTAATTACTTACAACGGATTTGTGTTGCGGTCCAAAGAGAAACTCCGAGGACACGCCAGGGCCGGATTTCGACAGCTAAACTGGCCGACAAGTCGGGCAATAAAGTCGGATTGAACATTTATAGAAAGCTTGGCACCTATGTTATTGATTAACCAGTTGAGTTCTGATTCGGGTTTTAATTGAACGTTTTATACCTTCGTCGAGCTTGTTAAATCGACTTGATGATGCTTCTCGTTACTGTTTACGACATTATTATGCGAGTTGTAAATTTTCGTGAACTATTCATCGATTAATTGGACTTCCCTTGGGCACAAAAAATTTTTGGTGATCAATTTCGTATTCTGTGGGAACGTTTTTTATAATGGCAATAAAGGTGTTTAAGACTGAGCTTTATCTAGCCATAAAGCCCACACTTACAAGTCGTGAAGACAATGAAGCGGCCTTCTAGCCCACTAGTCGTTTACGACAAAAATTATAAAAATGTAAGACAAGTTAATTATCCGAACAATTACCACTAATTATTTTTAGCTCCACAAAATTACACCATAAATCTCTTAAAGTTAATTATTTTGAATAAGTTTATGCCGTGATTGAATATAAATGGGCTAATCTAGGCCCGGACTAAACAACTTAATTCTGTCAGGTTTAGTGTTAATTAATGTAAATTTTTGTTAGATATGCGAGCCGAATGACCTGCACAATTTGATTTAAAGTCTAATTGCCGACATCTCTCGAATTTTATTAATTGGCGGCGTCGTTCCACCCTTTGGGTGATTTATTTTTTTCGAGGATGCTCAATCGGCCACTGTTTTTGATAATTATGGGCAGTCAAGAAATTATCCAAATATGAAGTTT